CCTGTACTGCTGGCCCCCAGAGGAGCCACTGGAATGAACGGGTCTTCCATAGCCTGTCTAGGGATTTTAGCACCCAGCTGCCCAAATAGCATCTACCACCCTCCTCTGGTGACCAACAAGACTGAGATCCAGACTGTAGTTGTAATGCTGATGTAACTTTATTGCAGAATTTCAAATTTGGGAGCACAGGACAATTCCACTGAGTATATATTAATTTCCCCAGTATGCACCACGGGCCATGAAATCCCCAGTGATTGGCTGCTGAGCCATACACAATCATAATGTCCTCCCATTGGTTGCCCCACACTGCAGCAGGGTCACACCCCACTCAGGCAGGTACAATAAATGTAAGAACACCTGGAATTAATCAGATAAATGCCAACTATAATTCAGCCAGACTGTCTATTTGATGGATTATAGTTCCTTATCTAATTAAAAAAATAACTATAACAAATCTGCGGATCTTAATATTAAACACATTCCTGACTTTGATTGACAATCTCAAGTTACCACATTCTAGACATGTGCACCAGCAAAAAATTTGTTTCGTTTCGGATTTTGCTTTATTTCGTTTTTTGGAATTCGGGTCCGAAAGTCAATTTGTTTCGGAATTCGGGCGAAATCCGTACAAAATTTAGTTTTGTTTGTTCGTTGCAGCAAAGTGACATTTAAGAGGGAGAAAAAGGTTTTTTTGTTCTCAAATGTCACTTTGCTGCAACGAAATTTCGTCCAAAAAAGGAAAGTTCGTCCAAAAAAACCGAATCGGAAATTCGGATTCATTTGCATTCATTATATCTGTAATTCGGAATTCGGATACATCCGAATCTCCGAAATTTCGTCCGAATTTCGATTTGGAACTAAACTAATCACACATGTCTACCACATTCTTTTCAGTGGTGCGACTCCTAGATCTACTATTTGGGGATCAAATTACCAACCAATGTATCTGATTTGTTTTTGTTGAACTTCATTCCCCTTAGAGTTGTGATATAGGCAGATCTCAGGAAATGGCATAACTTGACATTTACGGGGTTTGGCAGAGCTGCTCTGCTCAAGATGAACGTCTTTCCCAGACTGGGGGATTTTTCCAAATTTGTTTGGAGGGATAAACCTCCCCGTCTTGCTTGGTCACTGATGAAAGCTTCCAAACTTGGATTGGGAGTGCTGGATGTCAATCATTAATACAACGTTTCTTATCACGCCAGGATTATTCACAGGCATGTCCAATCCAATAATCCACAATACAAACAATGGGTTAATATTGAGCCGACCTGGTCTCCATTACCCTTAACGTTGAGAGCCTGGTTGTGAATTGATCAGAATTCAGGTACCACTTCCATCGACTCATTTCTGCAACATTGTCCGAAATCTCCCATTTAAAGCTTAAAAGCATACTAGCATCTGGTGAAAGTCCTTTGACCCCCCTGACTAACAACACCGTACCTCACTAAATCTCTGCTGGCGATGTCAGAAGGATGTCGTATCTTCGCCACATTTTTTGGACATGCCCAGCACTTACAGCGTACTGAACACAAGTCCATGACATTGTATCCCAAGTTATGGGATTGTCCTTGCAATTCTCGCCGTCGACATTCCTTCTGCACTGGCATGAACAGCTTCCCCTGAAATCCCCTAAATCTTTGCATACTGTGACGGAGTGGATTAGGCGGGTCGATCATATCTGTGAGGTTTGAGATGGCCTTTCTGTTATCCCTTGCATGTTTTTAGACCTGCTATGCAGCCCCCCGCTTTTAGTTTTTGTTTGGTATACCCTTTTTGCTTGTTCGAGACTGGCCCCTAGTTCCCTATTTCCCTCCCCCTCCCGTTTTTTGGCTTTTCTTCTTCTTGTGACATACTCTCTTTCTCCCTCCCGTTCTATTTTCTTTTCTTATGCCTTTTTATTCCAGGCCACTCTTCTGTAAGTGTGCTCTTTACTTTACCCAACTATCCTTCCCTCCGCTATGATACTTGTTTACTTGAGCTTTCCCATGCTACCTGACTAATATCCCAGTCTCAAGAGACATATACTTGAGTCATGCCGTTACAAGATATTTGTTGACAATACACAACAGGGGAGCTCTCTTTCTTTCTCTGTCCTACTCCTTCTACCTCTTCCTTTCCCTTCCCTCTTCCTCTCTTTCCATTCATCTTCTTATGTTTTTACGAATTAGTGGCTACCCTACATAGTTTGCAATTATGTTTTATCTCATTGGTATTTAATCCCATTGGAGGAGATGTGTTGTTTCTGTCTATTGTATGTTCTTTCTGATTTTTTCCAATTGTATTCTTGTTTTGGAAAATCAATAAAATTGTATTGAAAAAAAAAGATGTATTGGGAGACATGATAGATGCAAAAAGTAAGGCCCAGGCAGTGTACTGAACTCCCTTTGATCTCCTGTTACAGAGCCGTGCCGGTCCCGGCCGCATCGGGCACAGCGGATCTCGGGACCGGCAACGGCAGTGACAGCTTCTGACACAAGCGATCAAGCGTCACATCTAGTGGCAATTAGTAATGTCTACTGCAGACATTACTAATCTAATCAATCCTTTCGGCCTGTGTTTAGTGAAGACGCCGGCTGAAAGGATCCGAGTGCCGGCACAGAAGCAGCTATGCGGTCTGCATCCGACAGAGATGCAGACCGTGTAGCTGCTCCCGCAGGTCTGGTATGCGGTCCGTGACCATGTACCAGACTTGTGAGCGGGCTGCAGGCCACATAGTACCGGCTCGCGGGCCGCAACTGGTCCGCGGGCCGGTACTTTGAGACCACTGAGTTAAGGTAATGCTCATTGCTTGAGACTAAGCTTGGTTTACTAATACTTCTGATATTGTAACAATGTTCTTAAATGTTTTCATAAGGTTTGGTAGAGATGTATGGGGGGAGGCCAGGGTGAAGAGGACATCATCAGCAAACTAGGAAAGTTTGGGGTCTGAGCCAGCTATTTCCATCTCTTTAATATCTTGGTTTTATACCATCTGTTCCCAAAATCTAAAGCTTGAGCTTAACCACCGTTAACTTTAGACCATTCAGAGTAAGAATCATTAATTACAACCTTCTGGATAAGGTCTTTTCTACCCTTCTAGAAATTTTATAATCCAATTTGATAGATCTTACACATTGACTACTGGAGAACCATTTTGAAGGCTTCAGCAAAATCAAAATATACCAAATCCACAGACACTCCTGTCACTGCTTACTTAATCGTAAAAAGAAAATTAACTTGCTTGACAATTTTTCAAAAACTAATATACTGGATAATACTTATAAAATATATTTTAAGCATATACTCCTGTATATGGTCTTACTAATCCATCAAATATAAATGTACTTAAAACATTAAAGCCCAAATCCAGGTTAGTGTGGAGAAGAATTATATCCTCTTTAAGGTTTTGTACTGATATTTGTATTCCTATTTAATCTTAACACATGGAGGTTGGGGTGATGGTAAAGAATAGTTAACGGGGAAGAGGTTAGGGGAGCATTC